GGACATGTTTTCCTACACAGGGTCCCACGTTACAAAACCGGAATCCGTTTTTGACTCTTCAACTTTGACTTGTGGTACGATTGTTGGCAACGTGGCAAAGATGAACATCAGTCCTGCAAAGGCTATAGAAGCAGACAGAGTTGAGCTGCCTTCGCCGCCCTCCTTTGACCCTGTTCCTTTGTTGGATGAAGTCACAGCTTCAGTTTATCAGAGGCCTATCCAAACAGGCGTTGCTGACAGTGACATTGCAGGTGGTCCGAATCCTACAGTGCACATCAGAGCAACAGTTGACAACAAGTTACAATTGCTCCGGAAGCTTTTCCTGACTGGCAGATTGCAGCCGCTACACCGAGACCAGGTCAGGCCTGACCATCTCTCAGGGTTGTTTGCGGTTCCCAAATCATTGACAAGGGACCGCTTGATCTTGGACGCCAGACCGGCGAACCTAGCTGACAGAGCTTTAAACAGGTATTGCAAGACGATGGCATCAGCTTCAGTGTTGACAGACATTGTTTTGGCAGAGCATGAAGTCCTTGCTGCATCTGGTGAAGATTTGCGAGACTTTTTCTACCAATTTGTCGTCGGCCCTGAAAGAGTGCAGAGGAACGCTTTAGCTGATCCCCTGACGCTTGCGGAGGCCTACGAGGTTTTTGGGCGAGATTCCATACCTAGCTCATGGCCTCCACCGATATATTGTGGCTTGTCAACGTTGGCAATGGGCGACCAGAACGCCTCTGAGTTTGCTCAGTGCTCGCACCTCGCGATGATGTTGCGGGCAGGTGTGCTCACTGCTGATGAGATGATTTCCCTTCAAGAGGGGGCTGCTGGGAGTGGGCGTGATCATAGATGATTTGGTCCTGCTGGAAAAGCTGGTGAGATCTCAGATGCAGAGAGTGACTGAGGGAGCTGCCAGATCCAAAGCAGATGAACGATTGGATTTGGCACTTGCAGCCTATGACAAGCGCAAGCTACAGGTCAATTTGAAGAAAGAGTTCCGCAACCAGTTGACAGCCCGTTTTTGGGGCATCGAGCTGGATGGTGAAAAAGGGTTTGTCCGCGGCTCATCGCTGCGGTTGTGGCCGTTGATGGTGGTGACAGCTAGAGTGGCGATGTTGGGACTTTGTTCGGTGACTTTGATGGAAGCACTTGCAGGGTCTTGGGTTTCTTTATTCTCGGTTCGTCGAAGGTTCCTATGTGCCATGAATGGGATATTTGAGGCTCTTGCAATTCCTGACCAGAGCGCTATTTTGCGGGTATCCCCGGAGCTGGTTGGTGAGCTGTGGAGTTTAGTTTTACTTGGTCCCCTGGCAGTCTCAAATTTGAGGGCTCAATTTAACTGCAACCGATGCCTCTTCTGACTGGTTGGCGGCGGTCAGAGCAGAAGCGCCGCAAGCCATTGTGACCGAGGTCGCCCGCAGAGGGCTCAGAAAAGGACGCTGGGCGAAGCTCCTTCCTCCTCACAAGGCGTGGATGCGGGCCGCTGGGTGTTTAGAGCCGGGATCAGAGTTGCCTGAACAAGGGTTCGATGCTAGGCCGCTCTGGGTTCTTTTGGCTAGATGCCTAGACTACAAAGAGAGGTGGCGCCGACGCGTCATGAGGCATTGTCACATCAATGTCCTGGAACTCAGGGCGCACTTGATGGAGGAACGTCGTGTTTCGCAGCAATTTTCGCATCGTAGGTGTTTGTACGGCTTGGATTCACAAGTCGCTTTAGGAGCCATTGTAAAGGGAAGAGCAGCTTCAAGGTGCTTGAACAGAGAGCTTATGAAGTCCCTCCCACATATCATTGGTAGCGACTTGTATGGATCTTATATGTACTTCCCTTCAAAACTGAACAGGGCCGACGGCCCCACTCGGAATGATGTTCCAGCTGAAGCCGATGTTTCTTTGCCGGATTGGTGGGTCACCGCTGCGGGTGGTGACTTCTCTGGTTTAGATGCTTGGATAGAGGCGGCCGAACGGGACGTTGACTACAAAGAGTTTGATTGTTCTGCTTTGCTGCGACCCCTCAAGCTGACTGAGAAGCCACAACACAGGATCCCCTCTCGTATGCGCAATAGAGTTTTTGAGGACCCACGTGACAGTGTCTCCATCACTCGTGAACCACGCACCCAAACGGCGGCCTCCTTTGTCAAGAAGCAGTTGATTTGTTGAACTCCTTTCCAAGAGGACAGTTTTTGCTTCCAAAAGACTTCAAGGCTTTCGATCAGCCTGGAGCGCTGGATTTGTTCTCTGGCTCCTTCGGAGCTGCAAAGGCCATGATCAGACATCGCGCTCCATGAGTTCTATGCTTTGAGTGGAACCGGAGTGCCACTGAGGATCTGCTGAAACCGGACTTGCGCTCAAAAATCAAGCGCCTCATACAGCTCGGAGCAGTGAAGTGTTGGGGGGCAGCCCCCGTATGTAGCTCCTTTTCAGTTGCTGTGACCCCTCCTGTCAGAACCAAGACTTGTCCAAGAGGCATCACAGGACTGTCGGAAGCAATGAAGCGCAAAGTTCGGGAAGGCAACTCGCATTGTGATTTTATGCATGAGCTTATTTGTATCAGTGCCGATGCGCCGATCACAGTTTATTTTTGGGTAGAAAATCCTGACACCTCTTGGTTTTGGAGACAAAAGCTGTTTATTGACTATAGGCAGGCTGACTCGGAGCATATTTTCCGTTGCTGTTTTTGCCGGTTTGGAACACCATGGAAAAAGCCGACCCGATTCGCAACAAACATCAAGCCTCTCTGTGGCCTTCGTTTGAATTGTGTATGTAAGCAACCGCACACACAACTTCGAGGTAGATCTCCGCTTGGCAAGGCTTGGACGTTGGTTGCTGAACATTACCCGAGAAGGTTGCGCGAGCTTTTGGCAAAGGCAGTCTGTGCGGCAGCCTCTTGGATTCGTAGCAGCCGTCTGGATGTGGCCGGATGCGCGCGCGCTGGGTCTTTGAGGATTGGTGAGGCTTCCAAACCTGGACCAAGACGTAGATCGACGCGTCATGGTCAAGATCTAGAAGGCATTCAGCTAAGGACGACTACTACTCTAGCCAGAGAGTCGCAGGCTTTAGAGGCTTTCTTGAGTTGGGTGGGAAGATTCATTGTTAGCATAGACCCTGAACAGCTTTTTCCTTTGGCGCCAGAGTTCTTGGTCGCAGCATTATGTAGCTATGGCAGGCATTCATGGGGTGCTGGTGGTACTCTTAGCAGCTATAGGCATCTTGTGTTGTGCTGTCAAAGGTGGGTTCCCTTGTGCAGGGCTTTGACGCAACCGTGTTGGGAATTGGTCTCAAAATGGGAGATAGTTGAACCTGTATGTCATCGAACTCCAGTGCCAGAAGGCCTTTTGAAGGCCTTAGTTGTCACAGCCTGGCAGCTGCGCTGGTTTTCATGGGTGGGAGTCACGTTGATTGCGTTTTATGGCGCTGGACGGGTTGGAGAAGTGCTTCGTTGCTACAGGTCCGACCTGATTTGCCCTTCAGACGTCTTGGATCGAGATCATAGTGGCATTTTTCTCCAGTTGAGACAGTTTAAGGCACTCGGGCGACAGCCTTCAAAGATACAGCACATGGAAATTCAAGATGCCAATGCTATACGACTGATTTGCTGCGTGTTTGAGCATTTCCCCAAAGACATGTTGCTATATGCAGCCTCCCCGTCGGCCTACAGAAGGCGATGGGATTACCTGCTGCAGCTTTGCGGCATTCCTTTGGAACTGAGAATCACGCCCGGAGGTTTGCGGGGGGGGTGCTGCCGTCATGATGTATCGGAAGCACACTCCGATCCATGACATCCTTTGGCGGCTACGTTTAAGGAGTCAGTCGACTTTGGAAAGCTACTTGCAAGAGACTGCAGCTAGTGCCATTTTCGTGTCTTTAGACCCTAGTGTGCGGAATCGACTTTTCAATATTGGTGCTCTTTTTGAGTTGCTAGGCATTTCCTGACCAGGCCCTTCAGCTGAAGGACCGACGACCGACCGCATTGCACTCGGCCATGCTGGCCAGTTGTCCTGTTCCTGGCTCGCCCTTTTTAA